TTCCGGTGCAGCGCTCTAACCAACTGAGCTACAGAGGCCAGCTGTTGAGCTTTAACCGTAAGTTCATGTATATTTAGGTAATCGGGTGTGCGGGTTGTGATAAGGTGGACTTCAATAATTTAGATTCTTGCACTTCACTTGGTGGAATTAATATTAGAATGTTAGGGTTTGTAATCCAAATGAGAATATATACATCTTAAGACCTAACAACGAACGACTGCGAAAAATGCAGCACAAGGTCCTCTGGTAGGAATTGAACCTACGGCCCTGCAATTCCGGTGCAGCGCTCTAACCAACTGAGCTACAGATGCCAGCTGTTGAGCTTTAACCGTAAGTTCATGTATATTTAGGTAATCGGGTGTGCGGGTTGTGATAAAGTGGACTTCAATAATTTGGATTCTTGCACTTCACTTGGTGGAATTAATATTAGAATGTTAGGGTTTGTAATCCAAATGAGAATATATACATTTTAAGACCTAACAAGGAACGACTGCGAAAAATACAGCACAAGGTCCTCTGGTAGGAATTGAACCTACGGCCCTGCGATTCCGGTGCAGCGCTCTAACCAACTGAGCTACAGAGGCCAGCTGTTGAGCTTTAACCGTAAGTTCATGTATATTTAGGTAATCGGGTGTGCGGGTTGTGATAAGGTGGACTTCAATAATTTGGATTCTTGCACTTCACTTGGTGGAATTAATATTAGAATGTTAGGGTTTGTAATCCAAATGAGAATATATACATTTTAAGACCTAACAAGGAACGACTGCGAAAAATGCAGCACAAGGTCCTCTAGCTGGTAGGAATTGAACCTACGGCCCTGCAATTCCGGTGCAGCGCTCTAACCAACTGAGCTACAGATGCCAGCTGTTGAGCTTTAACCGTAAGTTCATGTATATTTAGGTAATCGGGTTTGCGGGTTGTGATAAGGTGGACTTCAATAATTTGGATTCTTGCACTTCACTTGGTGGAATTAATATTAGAATGTTAGGGTTTGTAATCCAAGTGAGGATATATACATTTTAAGACCTAACCAGGAACGACTGCGAAAAATGCAGCACAAGGTCCTCTGGTAGGAATTGAACCTACGGCCCTACGACTCTGGTGCAGCGCTCTAACCAACTGAGCTACAGAGGCCAGCTGTTGAGCTTTAACCGTAAGTTCATGTATATTTAGGTAATCGGGTGTGCGGGTTGTGATAAGGTGGACTTCAATAATTTGGATTCTTGCACTTCACTTGGTGGAATTAATATTAGAATGTTAGGGTTTGTAATCCAAGTGAGAATATATACATTTTAAGACCTAACCAGGAACGACTGCGAAAAATGCAGCACAAAGTCCTCTGGTAGGAATTGAACCTACGGCCCTGCGATTCCGGTGCAGCGCTCTAACCAACTGAGCTACAGAGGCCAGCTGTTGAGCTTTAACAGTAAGTTCATATATATTTAGGTATTCGGGTGTGCGGGTTATGATAAAGTGGACTTCAATAATTTGGATTCTTGCACTTCATTTGGTGGAATTAAAATTAGAATGTTAGGGTTTGTAATCCAAGTGAGAATATATACATTTGTATATTCTCACTTGGATTACAAACTATTCTCATTTGGATTACAAAATATATACACAAAATATATACATGTACACTGTAAATCTGGGAGTGTTACCACAACACCGAAATCGGTGTAAATTCTTGCAGCTGTGTGGACACCGATTTAGTGTTTACTTACACTCATTTTGGTGTTAAAATACACCTTTTCAGTGTTAAATAGATCCAGCTGTGTGAACACCGAATTGGTGTAAATCTACACTATGAGTGTAAAATAACACCTCCGAAGATCTTTTCACACTCTTTTGGTGTAAATAGCTTGCAGCTGTGTGAACACCGAATTGGTGTAAATCTACACTACGAGTGTAAAATAACACCTCCGAAGATCTTTTCACACTCTTTTGGTGTAAATAGCTTGCAGCTGTGTGGACACCGATTTGGTGTAAATCTACACTACGAGCGTAAAATAACACCTCAGAAGATCTGCTTACACTGTTTTGGTGTAAATAGCTTGCAGCTGTGTGAACACCGATTTGGTGTAAATCTACACTACGAGCGTAAAATAACACCTCCGAAAGTATTTTTACACTGTTTTGGTGTAAATATCTTGCAGCTGCGTGGACACCGATTTCGTGTGAATCTACACTACGAGCGTAAAATAACACCTCCGAAGATATTTTTACACTGTTTTGGTGTAAATAGCTTGCAGCTGTGTGGACACCGACTTCGTGTAAATCTACACTACGAGCGTAAAATAACACCTCCGAAGATATTTTTACACTGTTTTGGTGTAAATAGCTTGCAGCTGTGTGGACACCGATTTCGTGTAAATCTACACTACGAGCGTAAAATAACATTTCTGAAGATATTTTTACGCTGTTTTGGTGTAAAGCACCTTGCAGCTGTGTGGACACCAACTGGTGTTAATCTACACTACGAGCATAAATTAACACCTCCAAAGGTCTTTTTACACTGCATTACGTACTTACTGAATACAGCTACTGTACTGATACGGTTTGTGATGTAAATGTACATCCAATTGATGTCTAAAGTAGCTATATTCAATATAAACTTAATGCAATGTAAAAATACCTTTTGCTGCTTAAGAATGCTGCTTAAGATTGTAAGTTATTAACTCAATTTAACTGAATTACTAAGTTAAAACAATGAAGAGAATAGAAAGTACAAATGTAAATTATATATTTTTAGAGTTTAAAACTATAGTCTATGTTACATATTTCGATTCAGTTGAATCATTTCAACATAGTTTATATCAGTCACAATCCAAATTAAAGTTCATATTACCAGTACAGGTGATTTGAAACCAATAGAATCTTTGCTGAATGGCACTTTGACACAGTCGAAGAACACATCACTATATTGTAGCGCACAAAATCTACAAAGGTTTTGGTGTGCAACTGTCCTTCGTTAAACATTAATGGCCAGCACGTTCCCTTGAAAGATAATTATTTTGCATTAGAGATTATTATAAAGAGTGCACTGTACCTTTTATGGATTTATGAGAAAGTATCAAACAACTTATAGAACAAACCCAATCTAATTTTTTGTTGGTGACATGTCAGAATAAATATATGAGATTTGGGTAGAAAGTCTGGCTAAACTGTCAACAAGTAACACTTTTTAGGGCAAGTCGAGTGGTTTAGGGCATACTATGATTTAACAACAAGGCACATTGGCAGAGAGACCGTTTAAAACCAATTAACCAGAGGAGTAAACTTTGCTGGGATTAACATTTTTAGTCACAGTAAATAATAAACATAGTACATGTATATTTGGGCACTTTAAGTTTAATTCACTGTGAAGTTCTTTTGTATCATTTCAAATCAATATATTATAACAGAGCCTGAAATAATTTTAAAATTTGTCCGGAAAAACTTCCGATCAAAACGAAATTTGACCGGAAATTTGCAAAATTGACCGTAATTTTTTTTAGTTTAGTTTGACCAATTCCACCTAGTGAATAATAATTTAATCACGCCCGCCGACACTGTTTTTATCTTGACCCGACAACACCACGCTGTAAACCACCATCTTGTTTATTGGGCTCGTGAACTATACTTTCCAGTTGATTACTTTATATTAGCCTAATATAGATAATCCAAACTTACAGATGGTACTCACTGTGCTGAGCGCCGACTCGATCATTAAGAAAACATTTTTCTTTTTCTCAAAATTTGGCCGGACAAAATTTCCGATCATTTCAGCATTTGGTCGGAAAAATCGGAATTTGGTCGGAAAACCGCCGGCCGCCGACCGTTATTTCAGGCTCTGTTATAAAAAGCATCACTTTATAAACAGTTTATATCTTAATTGTGTAAACGTTCTCTGGTTAAAAGATTTATATATTACAAGCTTTCGACTGCCAGTCTGCAGTCTTCGACAGGTCTCCATCTGCAAACTGGCAGTCAAACGCTTGTAATAAATAAATCTTTTTAACCAGAGAATCCTGGTTTCGCTTCCAACATTTTTAAAGTTTATATCTTATTTTATATATCCTACACATATTTTATAATCACTCTATATCCAGTATTTGGCCGGATAAATAATCTGGTAGGATATTTTCCATCCGTTCGGCATATATGGTATTCGGTGCATCTATCAGGTGCATCCCTAATGCACAATAATTTCATTCTCATAGTAGCGGCAGGGAAATAATTAACACACAACTCTAAAGTTGCAATGACATACAATATGAACTGAAGCACATTTAAATTCAACCAGTTCTAGCTTGCTGTGTGTCTCAGGGTCTGTTATACAATGCCAGCTTTTCCCTTTCAGAACATGCCCTCCTGTGCCAATTTGTCTACAGTCCAAGTGAAATTTGTAGATAATCCTAACTAATTACCCAAAAACCTCATTAGCCTAAGTCAATATTTTTATTAAAATTATACACTTGTCTTTTTTAAACTTTTTTCTCAGTCACAATGAGGGCTACCTTGAGGAAATACCTGGTTGCCAGATAAAACAATTGGTCACAATTGTTCACCTGGCATTTGGTCATTTCTAGGGCTGCACCAGATAGACATTTTTGCCATCCAGCCAGATTTCAGCTATGTCGGATAGTTGAAAGAAAGATATCCGCATTATCCAGCTGAATACTGGATACTGTTGATATAAAGGTTTAGACTTTCATTTAAGATAAATAATTAGTTTAATTGATTATAAAATCAGGGTGTTTATAATACTTTGACTTGAAAAGATACTTGAAATCATAGGAAATAACTTCATTCTAAACATGGGTATTGCCAAAGCCTTGCCCACAAAGTTCAAATCCAGTATCTGCCAATATACTGGATAGTAAGATTATCTCACTATCTGCTGATAGAGGGAGGGGGAAATTGCCCTGGGCCCCAAGCTTTAAAAGGGCCCCAACTTGAGAGCCTAAAATTGAGTAGGTCCTTTAAATTAATAAGAGCATTTTTGAAATTGAGGGCCACTTACAGTAGCTCCACATGCAGTCTAGCTACGGTCTAGTCATCGGGCCCCCAGAGAAGATTTGCCCAGGGCCCTGCAAATTATCTCGGCAGCCCTGAGCCTGGATATGATATCCGGTATATAGTCATTTCAAACCTTTGTCCAAGCACAGGTAGATTCACTCAGTAAGAATGTCATTTTATCTGTTCCGTACGGCGGTACATTTTCAGAGGGCAATGTAAACAGCTCTTATATGGCAATAAAGACAGGTGCTTTGAGCTGACCTGCCTGAAAAGTCTCAAGTAAACATGGATGAAATTGTACTTGGTTGTTGGTAGTACAACACTATGTACAATGAACTCTGGTATCTGGGCTACCTCGGTTCCATATAAACACACAACTTGACCAGGGCCGTAGCTAGACCGATAATTGGGGGGGGGGGTATATTCATATATTCGTGTTCTGCCCAGACGGATTTCTTTTGAAAGCGGTTGTTTTTACGGTATGTGAACATGAATATATGAATATACACCACCCCAATTATTGCGTCTCGCTACGGCCCTGAACTTGATTCATAAGTCATAAACATTTACTAATTATGGCATTATGCCATGTTAGTGTCTGCATAGTACTTAGCATATTGGGATATTTCTTCAGGGCAATCAGGGGATCATATATAATTTTTGAGCTTGGAATTCCTCAGAGGTATAACTATGACAAACATGATGTTTGTGATGTTACTCTGAGTGTATATCCACACCGAGCAAGCTTGAAAATATGCCTGGCCACGGTGGGAATCGAACCTAGAACCTTTGGAATACTAGCCCAATGTACCAACACAGAAACAATTATGAAAAATATATATCCTGGATGACTTTTTCTGTGTCGGTGTAATGTACTCAGGTGAATATGATGCTTGTGGTGCTGCTCTGAGTGTATATCCACACCGGGTAAGCTTGAAAAATATGCCTGGCCACGGTGGGAAGTGAACCTATGACATTAATTGGAATACTAGCCCAATGCTCTGCCAAACGAGCTACGCGGTCAGGATATACACTCAGAGAAACATCACAAGCATCATATTCACCTATAATCATGATCACTTGATTACATTGATATTGAAAGAACTAGATTCTGTTCCGAAATATCACATACCGGTACTCGAACCGACCTGACCGCGTAGCTCAGTTGGCAGAGCATTGGGCTAGTATTCCAAAGATCGTAGGTTCGATTCCCACCGTGGCCAGGCATATTTTTCAAGCTTGCCCGGTGTGGATATACACTCAGAGTAACATCACAAGCATCATATATCCTGAATGTATTCAGGGAATTCAGCAATATGTATATTTGGGGGTTGTCTGGAATCTATTGATAGGCACAATATAAATATTAAACACAGAGGAGGAATTATTCTCCTCTCATACAAAGCTATAGAACTTGCTTTGGTGTTTATATCAATATTAGCTAAATGAATCAATATTGATACCGTCTCAATACATTAAACTATATTCATACCTTCTTGTAGCCTGTAGTATTCTAGTTTGTTGTCGTTACATTTACAGGTATCATGATTTCGACATTTCGACTTGCTTGGAGCACATATTATGACAATATTTATTGCTTGGAATTATAATCTGTAAATACAAAGCAATATCACTAAGTTTTAATGTATTTTAGTAACAATATATTGTTGAACCCAATACAAAATACAAATGCGACCAACGGCACGGCGGTTAAAAATATACCTGAATACAGCTATTTATGGCACATATTTACACACGAAACTTCAAAATATTGACATAGTTTAACACTTACATTTAAGATTATTGTGTGGATCTTCAAAAATTGGAGTATTTCTTCATATTTTCGTAAATATTTTAAGAAAACTTGGCCATATAATATTTATCAACCAGCGTTATAAAATTTCCAAAGGACGCGCTCGAAATGTGTCCCGCTAAGCCTTCTGGGAGCCCATATATGGCAACGCGATTGACTGAAGGCACTGATCTCAATCATGTGAACAATCCAGTGCAAATTAAAGTGTATTGCGGTTTTTTGACAGAAACTTTTAATTCTAATTTCTATCTTCAAAATTCTAGCTGTCTTATTATATCTTGCTTAAACGACAATAATCAAAGCATTTACGACGCAATATAAGCTCCACACCTAATTTTACGAATTTTAGTTATCACGGCTGTCTGACTGTACGTAGGAGATCTACCGCTCTGGAGACTACAGTTACGAATCCGCCCCCGTAGAAATTTTGCTAGATTGGATATAAATAATTATGAAATAAACCAAGACGAATTCCACGTAAACTGCTACGAGTACTATAAACTCAGTTTCAGGCCAATTAAATTCGATAAAATGACTCAGGGCCTCTTTTAACATATAGACTGCAGACATGTCCCCCTCCACCAGCCCTCTTAGTGGCCCCTCCAGTCAGTAATTTTGTCCCCCCTTCCCCAGTGCAAGGTCCCTAAAAACTATCTGCAGAAGGTGGTCAACCAGCAATTGTATATCAAAGTGAGAAAATGAAGTCGTAAGCTGTTAACATTTCTGAATTTGACCATCATCTGCAGGTCCGTAACTAGCTATGAGTCAACCGAGTTAGTTGCATGCCTCGGTAGGAATTTTGGGGACTGAAATTTAAACATCGCCAGAAACCTAAACCATGGCTGAAATAATTTGCTCGTGGAAAAAGGCATGAAATGGCATTTTAGGTTCTAGTTAAGTTTTTCCAAGCAAAGATACTCCAAAGAGACCACCCCATCGTGCTCTTCAGTGACACTGAGAAACGAATGCGTCGATATCAAGTACCCCAATGATAATACTATACCACGCACATTTTCATTACCGCCATCGTCACATCATGTTGCCTTATTGGGGGACTGGATTACATTTGGGAGATTGTAAAATTGCAGTAATTATGTCACTGTTTATAAAGTTAATTTCTTGTTTGAACACTCCTCAAGATGCTGGAAATAGCCTATCTGAGCTTCAAATTCTGGTGTATGTTTACACTTTACACTATCATGGTGTTATCACATACACCAGAATTAGCTAGGTACATTTACACCGTTTGAGGGTATGTTTACAGCATAATAGGTGTTAATACTTCGTTTAATTTTCTACTTTACACCAGATCAGTGTAAGTATCATCTTAAAATCGTCTAGTGTAATTATACACCAGGTTCAGTGTAGATTTGCACGACGTAAGCATTCATGTTTTTTACATCATACCGGTGTATATTTACACAATCATGGTGTTATCTCATACACAAGAATAGGCTAAATTTACACCGTTTGAGGGTAAATTTACACCATAAAAGGTTGTAATACTTCGGTTTCTACTTTACACTTGATCAGTGTATCTTAAAATAGTCTTAGTGTAATTATACACCAGGTTCAGTGTAGATTTACACTAAGTAACCATTCATAATTTTTACGCCACTCCGGTGTATATTTACACTATCATGGTGTTATCCCATACACAAGAATTGGGTAAATTTACACTTGTTAAGGGTAAATTTACACTGCAATAATAGTTAATACATTAGTTTCTACTTCACCTCAGCTCCGTGTATTTTAACGCGTTCTAGGTGTAATGATACACCAGGAAAAGTGTAAATTTACACTTCGCAAGTGTTGGTATACTTTACACCGAATAAGTGTATATTTACACTATCGCAAGGTGTAAATTAACAGGGAAAGAGGTAATGTTACACCGTTCTAATGTAAATCTACACCGAATTAGGTGTAAATAGAATATTTTCTACTTTACACCTAGTAAGTGTTACCGAGACACTAAAATAGTGTAAAGTTACACTGTGGAAGTGTAATGTTACACTCAAACGGTGTTTAATTCCACATTACACCTAATTAGTGTAATGTTACAACTTTTTGGTGTTGCCGCAACACCGCGAGATTTACAGTGTGGGTACCCTGCTCTAGTTGGCAAAGCCAAATAAATAAATAAATAAATAAACACATAAATAAATTGTGATATTACTCCTCTAACTGTGTTGATCCTATATAACCCACCCGGTCAACTTTCCCCGTGGGAAGAATCCGGAGAAAAACCACGACTTTCGACTGACTCTTTTCATATGAGTCTGTAGCGAGAATCGAACACACGAACTCAGAGGTGAAAGCCGCTTACTTTGACGACTGCGCCACCGAATTATGTATTCATTGCAATCAATGCAATGATCAACTAATTATAATATAGCAGTTTGACGACGTTGACACCCCTTCAATTTGTAAAATACGCTACATAAAAATGCTATGACACACTGATTTTGTCCACTAAATCTCTCAACATGGGCGTTTGTATTTTGAAGACGAACCGAGGTTAATTATTAAATATATCATAGACTACGCAACAAATTCATGAATCATGAAAATAGAAACGTGATATATGTTAACGTTAACCAAGATCTTCTAATTGATGCATAAACAATTACAGGCTTGAACATTTTGGTTTAACATAACACTTTCTAATTTCATGAATCTGTGGCTTGCATTACGATCAGTATTTAACCACCGTTCGTTTTTAAACGCGGTGCTGAAAGATTTGGTGACCAAAATCAGTGTGTCAGGGCATCTTTTTGTACGTATTTGCTCCTGGTTGGGATTAAAAATATATGATTTATACATTTGCGTTCGAACATTCCATCATTCTACAAGAAAAAGATGTCTACTGTAAGTTTCATTGAACAAAATGCCCAAAAGTCTCGACCTTCTCTTTAGAATATTTCTAACATTTTAAGAACCGTTTAGAATAAGGAATTACGTCATTCTTTAACTTTTCTACGTTAATTTTAGATACGGCCGTATGATATTTAACAGGATGCATAAATTTAATATTATGATTATAACTTTCCCAAACTAATTTTCCATCATCAAACCTACGCCAGCCATACTTGTCCGGTAGATACAACCCCAAATGAAATTCCCATGAACTTTGTAAGTCTATGAAACTCATAATGGTCGGCACTGAAACTTCCAAAAATACTCGATTTTTATGAAATACAGTAGAGATCCGCTGCCACTGATCACTGAACTTCTTGGGTACATAAAATAGATCTGACCACGTGTTAAAACAACGCTTTACTCCTTCGCCATTTGCAAGATGAGTTTCTATCAATTTCGTGACATTTATATATTTACTTGAGCGATATTGTTTAATGATTTCTGAGTAAGAGTTTTCACAAGCCTTTGCAGAATTGCTCGACATGCTCCACCAAAGCCATCCGGTTATTATTGGTCGTTTCCACATGGTATGAACTCCATCTACCACAAATTTCGCACCCAGCCAAAATTTCTCCTTATCAAGCTTGTGGAATGTCCACCAGTTCACAATCATGTCGTCATTTATGTACAAGTAACCACGGTAATCAGGATACCTATGGATACAACAACGAATTAGCAGACACCACTATACAGGGCGTATAAAAAAACCTGAACAGATATGCACTGTTAATTTGAAGGTGTTAAAATAGCACCTTCGTAGGTGTTAAAATGACACCTTGTGGTGGTGTTAAATAAAAAGTGTTAATCTAACACCAATTTGGGTGCTGAATTAACACCATGAAGTTGGCAATTGATTTTGAAGTGCTAAATTAGCACCATAGATATTTAACACTTTTCTAGGGTGTTAAAATAACACCCATTCTATTGAGTGAAAGTGTTAAAGTAGCACCGTTTTGAGAGTTAAACTTAGGGTGGCAAAATAGCACCTCGTGAACCGGTTTTCAGATTCAAAGTGGCGGACCACGTAGGGGCGGTTTACGTTTTTCAGACAAGTAAATGGAGCAAAGGATCATATTTTTACATATTATCGCCTTTAATGTAATCCTTGTATATAGGGCCTCATTGAAAAACTAATAAAAAATAATCGAAGCAATCTGTCATTTTGGTGTTAGTGATGTCAGGAAAGTGTGCAGTGATAAACAGTAAAAATATGCAGTGAAAAGAAATTGTGTGGTGATGACAAAATATGTTCATGCAAGGGAGATATACCAAGACAGCTAGAATTTTAAAGTTAAGAGTCTCTGTCAAAAAAAACTTAGAAATACAGGTTTATTTGCACTGGATTGCTCACATGATTGAGATCAGTGCCTTCAGAAGGGCCTCCCAGAAGGATTAGCGAGCACATTTTTAGCGCGTCGTTTGGAAATTTTAATTTAACGTCTGTTGATAAAGCCAAGATTTCTTAAATTATAGTAGAAAATAAGAAGCCAAATACTCCATTGTTTGAAGATTCAGACAATAATTGTAAATGTAAGTGCTCAACTATGTCAATATTTTTAAGTTTTGTGTGTAAATATGTGCCATAAATAGTAATATATTCATGTATATTTTAACCGCCATTGCCGTTGGCGGCATTGTATTTTGCATTTGGTTCAACAATATATTGTTATTAAAATATATTAAAACTTAGTGATATTGCTTTGTATTGACAGGTTATAATTTCAAGCAATAAATACTGTCATAGTATGTGTTCTAAGCAAATTGAACTGTCGAAATCATGATATATACAGGCTGCAAGAAGGTATGAAATATACAATTATATTTACAAGGGCCCAGAAAGGAAGGATTGTTCGCTCATACAAAGCCATGGAACTTGCTTTGGCAATTAGATAAATATTAGCTAAATGAGTTAATATTGATACCCTTTCAGTAGTGATCAATACATTAAAGTTAACAATATAAACATTTATATTTGTTAATGTATTGATCTATTGAGAGGATATCAATGTTGACTCAATAGCTATTAATATTGATATAATCTCCAAAGCAAGTTCTATGGCTTGTATTAGGCCCTGTTTACATGAGACCACAACAAAGTCAAACCGGGACCATTTTGTTTTGCTCATAGTATGATCTATAATAGATGTTCACAAGCGACCGGGATGAAAATAACTCGACAGACCAGCTTAAGTCATTCTGGTTGCTGGATCAAGCCAATTGTCTTTAGACTGGCATGAATTCAGACCGGCATGAATGTAAACACAAATACATTTCAGACCGGTCTTGGCTGTAACCTTGACATTGGAACAACATATGCTAACAAAAGCCATCTGAACAAGAAAATTGCCTAGCAAGGGGAATAAATTGAAAATTTTGTGATTTTTGTACTGATCTCATGTAAACATGTTGACAATTTCAATTTTCCTTCCAGTTTGACTTCGTCCCAGTTTCATGTAAATGTGGCCTAAGAGCAGAACAATCTTTCCTTTGTGTTATCTATATTGTGCTATCATAGTAAATAGCTGTATTTCTATTTAATATCCAGACAACCCAGGTAGAATGTTCCTAAATTCCCTGAATATAATTGAGGATACATGTTTGAGTCCCTCATACTATTGTTTGTATGCTTCTGAGAATTTCCAGGCTCACAATTTTATGCATAAAGAAACTGTTTAAGGGGCCACGTCCATAATAATGTTGCCACAACAACATCGAATCGACATTATAAGTGGGTAGGTTTTATGTGAACTTATCTCTGCTATCTTGTGGCAATTTGACAATTAATGCCAATAAATGATCAATAATTGACGTTAAATTATTAATTGACAATGAATTACAGTATCTACAAATAAACTTGGAATGTAAAATAATACCAATTTTCATTTTGTAGTCGACTCACCACAGAAAATTACAAATTGAGTTGCATTATGCCCTGATATGCCCTACTTTATTATTTTACTTTATTTAATGCCAGACTATTTAACTCTGTCTGATCCCAGATGATTTTACTTATCAAGGGGAGAGAGCTGGTGCTTAAGAGCGACTGTCTACAAAAATCAAACAAAATGAGAAATATGTGGCAAGGCTCAAAATTTTAAATTCGCTCTACTTTTGAATATAAGTTGACTATGGTGAAGTGAGAAACGTTATGTGGTTAGTTTTTAAAAATACTCTTTTGTTTATGAAAAAAGGCAAAAAAATGTTTCAGCTGTGAGGACCGATTTTCGCAATCGAAAAATGGCCGAAATTGCGTATGTTTACTTAATCCTGGTATCCAAACCCTAAATCCAAATAGCCTTATTATACTTTCTGTTAAAGCTACATCACTCCCTCGTTTATTAATAGTGGTTTTATGATAATTGAACAACTGAACACATTTGTGCACAATAAAGAGCGACGGGTACTGATTTTTAATGTTTGTCATTGCATGTAAAAAGTGGCAGATTTCTCCATTTGCCATCCTTTCAAATCTTATGGGATTTTGCACAAGCACTATTGGGAAACTGCCCTTTTCAGAAATGTATTATTTATTTTGGGCAAATAAATTCACACGCTTTGAGAAAGAGTTAACTTTGGTTCATTAAATATGCAAAATCACTGTTTGGCGATTGCGTGACTAAAAACCCCTTGCAATAAACTCACTTAAAACATCATTGTTCTTCACCTTTAGTTTAGAGAATTTGAAGAAAACATAAATATACATACCTTGAATGCAAAAAGTTCCTTTGAGCTGTTCCACTTTTGGAGTTATCCCTAACTTAACTACATATTAAACTCAAAGTTCAAGGAGTCCAGCTAACAGAAATCAGCTAACAATTTACACAACTTCCATTCGTATTCCATTTACAATTGTTATAGTTAAGCCAATAAAATAAAAAAATAAGCCATGCAGAAAAGAGTCAAGATTAATATTGCAGACATTATATTTTATTCATATACTGTACTGAGATATCGAAAAAAGTATTTACATTTATAATTAGATGATGCGGGCTTCCTGTCGATTTGGCGGAAGCAATGCTACTGCAGTATTGATATCTCTGCGATCAAATGAATAATCTGTGCCAATCCGTGCCCACTATTGGACCAAAATAGCAGCGTCTAGAGAGTGCCATTTCCTTCGAAACCACTCTGATCAGTCGTCAGTTCAAATACCAATATGCTGACTTTTCATGGAAGTTTAACTGTTATGGGGTGCTCGTGACGGATATTAATTAATCATGATAACAATAGCATAGCGGCGTGCGGATCGCATTTTTTCGACAATAATCCACATAAAAACAATATTAAAAATACAAGTAATGCATCACAGTGGCATTACTTTCGCCAAATCGACAGGAAGCCCGCCACCTATAATGTAAACATTTGGTGACAAATAGCTTTTTCAATATGTCAGTATAAAAATAAAATAGAATTTCTGTAATATTAACTTTGACTGTTTGTTTCTAAGAATATTAATAATTGTAAATAAAAGTAAATTACAGCAATAAAAAAACCCTCAATTCGCAATAATCCACTTAATAGAAAAAAAATATTAAAAAAGAAATGACAACATTACAGTAATACATCGCAGTGGCATTACTTCCGCCAAATCGACAGGAAGCCCGCCACCTATAATGTAAACATTTAGCTTTTTCGATATGTCAGTATAAAAATAAAATAGAATTTCTGCAAAATTAATTTTGACTCTTTGTTTCTAAGAATATTAATAATTGTAAATGGAACACGAATGGAAGTTGTGTGAATTGTTAGCTGATTTCTGATAGATTGGATTCCAAGAACTTTGAGTCGATGTATAAGGCGGAGATGTAAACAACCGAACGGTCGACAATATTAAATTCCTGGTATAAACTCCAAAAGTGGAACAGCTCAAAGAAAATTTTTTCATTCAAGGTATGTATATTTATGTTTTCTTCAAATTCTCTAAACTAAAGGCGAAGAACAATGATGTTTTAAGCGAGTTGATTTCAAGGGGTTTTTAGTCATGCAATCGGACCATTCGCGTAATAGACTAAATTTTGATCTAAACAAAAATTTCATCACAGCTTGAAAGAGCATCACAAAATTAGTAATATTCCAAAATTTCGTTGCGAAATGTTGTAAAATGCGGATAGTATAGCCCCGCGAAGTTTGCAATTTTCAGTCATTTTAGATTACAAACGGGAAATTGACAGCCGATACGCTTTGAGGCTGTCAATTTCCCGTTTGTAATCTAAAATGACTGAAAATTACAAATTTCGCAAGGCCATATTATCCGCATTTTACATATTTACATTTTTGTCTAGACTTGTTGAGATCAAAATTTAGTCTATTACGCAAATGGTCAATTACCAAACAGTGATTTTTGCATATTTAATGAACCAAAGTTAACTCTTTCTCGTAGCGCGTGAATTTATTTGCCCAAAATAAATGATACATTTCTGAAAAGAGCAGTTTTCCAATAGTGCTTGTGCAAAATCTCATAAGATTTGAAAGGATGGCAAATGGAGAAATCTGTCACTTTTTACACGCAATGACAAACAATAAAGATCAGTACCCGTCGCTCTTTATTGTGCACAAATGTGTTCAGTTGTTCAATTATCATAAAACCATTTTTAATAAACGAGGGAGTGATGTATCTTTAGCAGAAAGTATAATAAGGCTATTTGGATTTAGGGTTTGGATACCAGGATTAAGTAAACATACGCAATTTCGGCCATTTTTCGATTGCGCAAATCGATCCTCACAGCTGAAATTTTTTTTTGCCTTTTTTTCATAAACAAAACAGAATTTTTAAAAACTAACCATATGACGTTTCATACTTTGTCATAGTTACCTTAAAGTCAAAAGTAGAGCGAATTTAAGATTTTGAGCCTTGCCGCGGTATGTTTAATTTTTGTAGAGACTCGCTCTTAATGGGTTAACTGTCATATCTGCCCATGTGCCTAGTTACCCCCTTCATGTCAACTATGCCACACAAATTGCACCCTACTTTATTATTTTACTTTGTCTAACACCAGACGATTTTACTTGTCAAGGGGAGAGGGCTCCCGCTAATGAGTTAGAGTACCATTCAGCGAAGATTCTATTGGTTACAAATTATCTTCACCGGTAACATAAACTTTCATTTGGATTGTGAGGGATATAAACTGTATTGATATAATCCAACTGAATCAAAGTATGTAATTGTGAGAAGTATTTTCAAAAGCAGGTTGTTTAATTACTGATTGAAAAATAAGAAAATCATTCAAAGAAATTCTTACTTTTTCAGGTAGTTAAACAATCTACTGTTTGCAACTGTAGCTAGTGAATAGTCTACTTTGCTGTATGATTGATTACAGTGATTACAGGTTTTAAAGAAACAATTGTTTAGTATCTGTGTGTTTATAGTATGGACATGGATTAAACAATTAACATAGATTAAGATACTTAATAAGTTAATTGAAAGAACGTAATCTATATTATGTGTATGTATACTGTATAGAAATTTATTCTATGTTTAAATCTTTTTGTGTAGAGGATGCTCAACCCCTTTTATCAGGATCTCAACCCCTTGTCTATTGGTACTGGACCTCTGGAAGAGATAAGTTTGATTTCATTGATTGCAGAGCGAATGTTTGTGAAAAATTCAAATTGTGCAATATAGCCAACAACCTGCAGTTTATGATAATGCACAATTTATGATAATGATGATATTATATCATTAATGTAATGCATGTATTGTGCATGCAGGATATACCGTAAATCTCCAAATATAAGCCCCCCATGTATAAGCCCTCTCCCCCACGTATAAGCCCACCGCATGTACTAACGCTCACCTCATTCCAAATATAAGCCCCCCCCCTGAATATAAGCCCACCCAAATATAAATAAGCCCACTTGTTTATCACTATTACAACTATCTATCATTATTATTACTATGCTTGTTTAACACTTGTTTATCACTATTACTATACTTGTTTATTACTATTAAACTAACACAAAAGATTGTCCATGTATACGCCCCCTGTATATAAGTTTCCCCCCCCCCTATATAAGCCCATCAAAAATCGCTTACGAAAGAATGTAAGCCCAGGGCTTATAGTTGGAAGTTTACGGTATTGTTCTAAATCTTTAATGACTAGAGTGTAGTACGAGGAGAGTTATGGCGTCACAATCATGGTCTATTTCTGTGAATGTTTCTATATAGTGTAAACTTTAGGTGCAATAACTCTGAATTTACTATAAACTTCATATATGACATAGATAAGTAATGCTGTAAAGTGTAATGTAAATAAATTTTTCAACAGATTATTTTATTAATTGTTTTTTGTGTTGGATAGAAGGGATATACATTTTTAATATTCGCGGTAATGCTAAAATAACACTAAAATTGAGTGTTATTTTAACACTAAGGTTAGAGTGCTAAAACAACACCGAAAAGGGTGCTATTATGACACTAAAAATGGAGATATTTTAACACCTTTGCAGGTGCTAATTTGACACCCTACAAAGTGGTGTTAAAATAGCACCCAAAAAGGTTTTATTTTTGGTACCTTTTTATTTGACACCATTTTTGGTGTTATTTTAACACCTTCAAATTAACAGTGTGAAATTGCTCTCAATTTCGTAAAACAGCTATTAATATCCAGTTTTTTATGTATATACCTTCTTTGGTTACTTATAATGTAGAATAATGAAAAAAATTTCTGGAACTCAAATTTTCTGAACCAGGGGGGAGGTGTCTTTTCCAAGAAACTGAAAATGGCTTGCGCACGAAATTTAAAAGCCTTATTCATATTTTGAGTCAATAGATTGAAAATAAGTTGGGTTTTTAATTACTGTACAAAAGTTCAGACAATTTGGCTTAGTTTAAGCCCCTTTCTATTCACGCAAACTTACATTTTTTCTTAAAAAGTCAGCTATTTGCATGCTTCAATGATTTGGTTTCTTGCACTTCACTTGGTGGAATTAATATTAGAATGTTAGGGTTTGTAATCCAAGTGAGTATATTTTAAGACCTGACTTAATGCCTTGTGGAAAGGCCTCTGATTGGACAGTGCTTTATTTGAAAAATATGTGACAAATGAAGGTATTTCATTGGTTAATTGATAAAGGCATGCGTTTAAAATAACAACACAAAAATTTTAAATTCAGAGATTTCCTCAAGAATCGAGATTTCTTTCGGGGCATACAAATTTTTGAAAGACTTGAAATATAATCTGAAAAACGATACATGCCAGAAATATATTGCAAATATTTCTCGATGAAGAGATTTGTTTTGAATGCAAACAATGCTGAACGGTGATCATAGCCGGCAAGTCCGGTGTACAAGCTCAGTTCTTGGCGTACATATGGCGTATATAGTTGTTTACAAAGACAAAGTATTAAATATAAACACAACTGGTTAATATTGAAAAGGTGCATTTTAAAGTAATTAAAAGTTAACTGGCCAAGTAAGACGAAGTTAAACACATTAAAGAAAATCCTTTGTCGCGGTCGGTCGGGACATAAACATGCAGATTGTCAATTTAATTGTCAATTATAAATTGTCAATTTCCGTCCGATAGTTTGTTGTATTTTATATATTTGTCAGCAATGTTCGCTGAGTGTCCAAACGCTAGAATTTTATCTTGATTTCCTTAACGCACAGATTATATTTCAAGTCTTTCAAACCTTTGTATGCCCCCAACGTGTGCCCAAAGGAAATCTTGATTCTTGAGGAAATCTCCAGAGGGAAATCTCTGAATTAAAAATTTTTGTGTTGTTATTTTAAACGCATGCTAATTATCAATTTATCAATGAAATAGCTTCAATTGTCATATATCATTCAAATAAAGCACCGTCCAATCAGAGGCCTTTCCACAAATCTGTGGAACTCACAGACATTCTCTCGCGCGCTTTTTCGAGACTAACGTCTGTTATTTATTTATTTATTTATAAAAGTTATTTGGAAACGATAGCCCTTCAGCTATTGCTGCTTTTCAAGGGATCGTTTTATATAAACCTATAAAATATTAATATATATTTACACAAATAAGTCATGTTAAATAAAACAATATTGATAAATCATGTTGCAATACTTGTGAGCATTATCAACAGTCATTTAATCTATAGAAAAACAATTGTCGATTAAAATTTTAAAATCAGTGAATTGTTGATAGTTGCTCATACCCGTTGATGATGTCAATGGGTAAGTTGTTCCAGGCACAAGCTCCTCGGTATGAAAAGGATCTTTTCATAAAATTAGTTTTAGGCTTAATGGGCTGTAACAGGCTATATGTTACTCGTCTGTTACTCGCGTGTAGTTTTACAATAGATAATAGATCGATTTTAGTTCGGTTCAAAATTATCTCACGACCATTGCAACAGATTTTTGCTGCGTTAGGACTCGATTCATTCTGATAGTAGAATAAAATACAATATATTTTCGAATCACCATCGTTCTCGAATACTTTTAGTAATTTTACACTTTCTTGAAAAACAAAAAGAAACCTAATTACTGCCCTAAGGCATTGTTCTTGTACTGACATTAATAAAATTATAGTTATCAGGAAAACCTTTAAAATGTTGACAACAAATGCGAAACATGTAGTATTCTAGAAATGAATTAAAGTGGCACTACCATTAAATCTTTTTTCTTCATAATCCAGAAATATAAAGTATGCTTCATATTCTTACCAAAATTGAAGGCAAAATTATTTCATCTTCATGACTTACGATTCTTATTTGCCAATTTTACGACCGCCATTAAACGCGCGCAATTAAGCGAGAAGGCGTTTTGAAGAGGATGTGACGTCATTCACTCAACACGCCGAATGTTTTTATTGTATTTCACTACTATTTCAACAATGTCTACTGACAAAGGAGTTTCAGAAACTTTACAAAGTGAACATTCGCATGGGAGCAAAGTGAGCTGTGATGAAGAAACGTATACGGTAACTCAAATTCAAGCGAAAATAGTGATGAAAAGAAGAAACCGAATCTAGAATTGTTGTTTGTTGAAAACATGACTGTTGGCCGGCTTTCGCTCACTATTAATAGTGTAACAACAATAGTGTTGATTGGCTTCCTTGTTTTTACAAACTTACTTTTGAAGTTGAAAGTAAGCCTTGTAAGTTATAGCTATAAATAATATTTCAACGCATGCGTGTCTATTGGCCTATTTCTGTATGATTAACAACAGGCGCCCCAATCTCTGAATGGTCTATATATTTTGAATATTTGTACAGAATATTTAACCGTTATAGTATTTAATAACGAAATAATTTAAAAAATATTAACAATATATGTACGTAAAAAATATATCTAACTTGTTAATAGAATGCATTTGTTGTCTTTCTGAGTCTAGTTGATGCGATGGCTTTACATTTTCGTCGTAGTTGAACGGTCGTCAATACTGACACAGAACGACATAGGATAAAAGAAGTAGAAGGCTAACGACTTATCTGATATATACTCTCCGACATCGAGTCCAATATCACTCCTCAGAATCGTTGCAGAGCAATAAATTTCACATCACTTAATAGCTGACTCATCCCCAGTCGTCTCTGTGTTACTCAGTTTGAAGCGCGGGCGGAAGCAGCAAAGATGGCGGGTGGAAGCAGGAAATATACAGGCGGTTTCCCCCTTCCCAGCGCGTGTGCTCACCGCCTACATGGCCTTGCTACTTTTCCTGCTTCCGTACGCGCTTGAAATACAGAGACGACTGGGGATTGGCTCTTCTTCGAGAGCGTGTCCTTGGTAAGACTACGAGTGAATAGAACCTAAGTGAATTAGCAACAGGGAAATTAAGTGATATACACAATAATATAGATGTAAAGACGAACTTATGATGAAGTGAGTGTGAATTGTGATTTTATTAAACTTTATTATTCATTAATTATATAATTCAATTCACTTTCAAACAGGATTTTTCAAGAGGTTTATTTTTTTTTTAACAACGTTTCGGACAGTTTTACTGTCCGTCTTCAGGTTATTACAACTTTGTAAATGTTGACGTGTACAAACAATGTTGACGTGTACAACAATGTTGACGTGTACATCTTTATTATTCAATCTTGGACTTTTGTGAATTTCTGGGTGAAACAACGGAGGCAATCCCCAACAAAACAAAGTTCGTTGCGTGTCACGGGTATTGCCCAAATGGTGAACAAACCATGTTCTTTCGAAAGAGGAACGTTCATACTATTAGGCGAAAAGCGAAATAGGCCAATAGACACGCACGCGTTCAAATATTATTTATAGCTATAACTTTCAAGGCCTACTTTTAACTTCAAAAGTAAGTTTGTAAAAACAAGGAAGCCAATCAACTGTTGTTACACTATTAATAGTGACCGAAAGCCGGCCAAAGGTCATGTTTTCAACAACAAACAAAGATAGCCATTTATTGTCAACAAACAACAATTCTAGGTTTGATTTCTTCTTTCCATCACTATTTTCGCTTGAACTTGAGTTACCGTATACGTTTCTTCATCACAGCTCGCTTTCCTCCCATGCAAATGTTCACTTTCTGAAGTTTCTGAATCTCCTTTGTCAGAAGACATCATTGTTGAAATAGCAGTGAAATACAATAAAAACGTTCGGCGTGTTGAGTGAATGACGTCACATCCTCTTCAAAACGCCTTCTCGTTTAATTGCGTGCGTTTAATGGCGGCTGTAAAATTGGCAAATAAGAATCGTAAAAAGGTCAGCAAGATGAAAGAATTTTGCCTTGAATTTTGATTAGAATATCAAGAATACGTTACATTTCTGGATTATGAAAAAAAATAATGATAGTGCCACTTTAATAGAAAAAGTAATATTTTCCATTTTCGGTCCTCGATTGTCGACCCTCGACCTCGACTTTCGACACTCGACCTCAACTTTTGACCCTCGACCTACGACCCTCAACAATAACCCAAACTTGAGTATTTGTTTCTAATTTGGTTTTCTTTTCAGGAAAACAATTTACAGTAACATAGAAGCTAAGTATAATTCTTTAACGGTCTCAAAATCTTCAATTAATTTATTTCCTCTAACCACTCAATTTGATGGAGGCCAGGCTAATATACGACCTATATTTCCTACATTTTTTTATACTATTCTAAAAGTTATAACTACATTGATTTGGTCAATCGTTAGAACAGGCCTTTCATTCGAGAAAGAAGCCATTTTATTCCAGAAATGGGGCAATTGTGCAGTTTTGAAAAAAATGCGAAGGCACGTCTGACCCCAAAAAACATAACGCCACTCAACATTGACCTTTTAAGAGCTGTTATGTTCAGTCCATCCCATCCAAATAATGTTGACAAGTAATTTCCAAAGCGATTTGTACTGTACCTGCGTATAGCTTCGCCAACACATTCATAACCATAATATCCTGGGCCAATATCAACCACCATTATAGGGTGCTCGGAATAGTCCTTTGAACCACAAATCACAATATTTTTAAATGCATCTTTATATAACGACATGAGTAAAGGAAGTGTGTCGTAGAAAGGATAATGGTAAATGATAATTAACAGGATATCGTCAAAGTAGTTCTTGAAACATTCACCAGCCTTTGTGTCGATTGGATTGTGGTACTTATCATCATTTGATGGGCTGGAAACTACAGCTGGCGATGGATGTATAATACCTACAAAAGTGCGAATGAAACATTCGAATTGACACATACAGTATTTGGAAGAAAAAAAACAATGCAATCACACAGCAATATTGAAATTTTCACACCGCGCGGAGGCGCTCTCAAATAAATCATGCACCATTCTATTTTATGGTAAGAACAAAATTCTCAACCACTCTGTGATTTATTTTCTCAAAAGCAAACGTGTTTTAATATGTGGTATTGCCCCCGAGTCAAGGGCGCAGAGCGCCATTCCGTGCGTAAGCCCCGGGCAATGGAACTAATGGATCTATTCCCACTGCTCTGTCAGCTTGCCCGAAAGTATTTTGCGATCCAGGCTAGCAGTTCTCCATTAGAACGATTATAGGCGGGACAGGTCAGTACTCCATCTCGAGCACGTTAATTAAAACCAGAAAAAGTTGACATGCTTACGTTCCTAGACAAACATTTCACCATACCTTGAAAGAGCATCACAAAATTAGTAGTATTCCGAAGTTTTGTTGCGAAATGTTGTAAAATGCGGATAATATAGCCCTGCGATGTTTGCCGTTTTTCACATTTTGTATTACGCACGGGAAATTGATACCGCTTTCTGAATAAAGGTGTCAATTTCCCACGCGTAATACAAAATGACTGAAAAACGGCAAGCTTCGCAGGGCTATATTATCCGCATTTTACAACATTTCGCAACGAAACTTCGGAATACTACTAATTTTGTGATGCTCTTTCAAGCTGTGGTGAAATGTTTGTCCAGACTTGTCTAGATGAAAATTTTGTTCATTAGGGAATAGGTCCATTCCGCACTACTTTACCCCCGGGGAAAGGAAAACATTAGCGAAGTCTGAAGCTCGTCAATAATCGTGGCTATGTTTAACCGTTCATGGGTGGTCATCGTCACTGATCTCAAAAATATGGCGGACTGTCATCAACAGCGAACACTGATTGGTCAAATTTAAAATTTGCATTCTAACGACTGCATGACGACAGCGAAATAACAAACATGTCTTGCAAATATATTTCATTTTTGCAAGATTTTGTAAATTTCAAACGTTTTTGAGAAAAAAAAGCGCAAAGACTTGCTAAAAGAAGGGAGCAAAAACGCCGACGTCAATGAAGGTAAGGTTGTTTTAATTATTGAAGTATTGTTTGCTTTTAAAATTGCTTTAAAAACTGACCCTTGCGTACAATGAAAATTTCAGTTAGTCCGTGTGTTGTGAGCCGATATCGTTCACTTTCATTAAGCATGTCCTAGATCTGAAATATTTTGAGGGGAACTAACACTTTCATGCACGCTAAGTTCAAATCCGAAAAGTTCCCACCCCGTAGACCCGCAGTTTTCTCACAAAATGCTATTTTATCTTCAATAATTTCACGACAAATTTTTCATTGTTCAACGACACGATCGATGACGCGATACACGATTATGTCACTCAAAAGGACCAATTTCTATTAACCATTCTTCCTTTTAACAAAAGACAGGTTTTGCTCGAATTATTTTGAGTTATGCAATCTTATGCGTGTTGGACGTAAACAACATATCTTGTCTACAACTTTGAGAAAGTACAGATAACGCTTTCTAAAATCCTCAGTTCTAGAGATATATTCTATTAATGACTCAAGTTGTTGATTTTTTCCTCCACTTTCTTGACAAACACAATATTAAACACGATTATTTATTTTTGTGGGAAAGGGGTTCGGGGTTGTGAAGAGTCCATTTACAGTATATGACAAGCACCATGCCTACTCATAGGTCACACCCTATTAGCTGTACAGATTCTGAACTGGCTGCTGATAATCTGACCAAGATTTACTTGGACAGTCCTAACCTGACCAACTGGAGCACGAAACCCCAGTATGGACAGTCCTTACCCTGACCAATCGGAGCGCAAAACCCCTATGGACAGTCCTTAACCTGAACATGGGGGGTAAACCCCCATGGACAGTCCTTAGATTTAGATATATTATGTGTGACATATATTGAGTCTATGGGCCTGAAGTTGACATTTTATGGAGACTTCATCCCGAACTGCAATTCTTTATTCTAATCGTTCAACAAGAATTTACAAGAAAAATTATTTTCTATACACCAATAATATCCATAATATCAACGCTAGTCTACCAACAATGTTTGTGACTTTTGCACTTGAATGTGCTTCCTTGTACTTTTAATTGTTCCAGAATAATGTCCTCGAGATTGGTTGGCAATAACAGCATTCCTTCGTACGTAATCATCTGCAGTATTATATATACCAATACATACAATACATGTCTATCTATCTACTGTATATCTTTCCATGGGAACAGGTATATTGTCAATATACATCAGAATGTTATTACTGCATTCCCTAATATTATAAACATTAAAACTTTAACTGATTTTTTTTTTTTTTTTAATTTTAAACCCAGTGAAGGTAAGCAAAGGAGAGGTGGGTGGGTGGGAAAATCATTCGATAATGTTACTCTGTCGACATCTCAGAGTAAATTACGTTATTTTGCATAAACTCGTGCATGTTATGTGCCAATTAGGATGGGCTGTGTTATGTCCTGTGATTGGTCAAACCACAGAACAGAGTCATACAAGGTTTTCAATTGGTTCACAGTATGTTTCACGGTTTGTTCACGTGAATGTGTGCTAGCTGGCAGAAAATGATCTTTGACCTATCTGTTAAGATCTTTGACCAAACTGTCAAAGATTAGGTTGATATAAATCATATCAACCTCCTCATCTTACCATCACACCTTGTCTCATTAACTTAAATTTATATAGGCTATAAATTTGCTTAAAATCACAAGGACATTAGTGCAAAGTCTTTTGGCTATATCATTGGCCTGAAAAATAACTCTTCTAACGCGATCAAGGTATTTAAAACAAAAGTAACACGAAGCCAACGTGACGGCAAAGATAACGCTAAAACGAAATATTGTCGATTGGATGCTGGTAGAACACTTACGACAGGATCAATCTTACATAACCTTAAACTATAAGAATGAATGTTCACATCAAAGACAGAGATCAGTCCCAAAGTATAAAATATGCTCTGTAAACTTACGACCAAGTGGAGAAATGTGTGCATGAGCTGTTTAGTTGGTGATTTTAACGTATATGGAAGCCCTCTTTCCAATAATATTCGCTTTTTTCGCACACAGTATAACACCAACTGATGCAAATGCAATGATAAGTTATCTCTTGAATTACATCTCAGAAACTGTGTTGGAAATTTAAATGCTGATCCATTCCATATAGATTACCGTTTTAAATTGTTGTATAAAACATTTTGATCGCATGTAAGCAATTATTTCTCAGCCCAGAGACATAGTCCAAAGACTTAACATTAACGCCCTTGTAATTTTATAAAGATAGATCCAGAACTATGGATATTAGAAGGAATTATCTGTACCTTCTCAAAGTTGTAGACAAGATATGTTGTTTACGTCCAACACGTATAAGATTGCATAACTCAAAATGACTCGAGCGAAACCGGTCGTTTGTTAAAAGGAAGAATGGTTAATAGAAATTGGTCCTTTTGAGTGACATAATCGTGCATCGTCATCGATCCGTGTCGTTGAACAATGAAAACATTTACTGTGAAATTAATTAAGATAAAATAAAACTGCGGGTCTACGGAGTGGGAACTTTTCGGATTTGAACTCAGCGTGTTCGAAAGTGTTAGTTCCCGTAAAAAATTTCAGATCTAAGACATACTTAATGAAAATCGTTTTAATTTCTAGGCACTTTTCGAGATCACAACACACGGACTAAGTGTATATTTATTGATTACTCTCTCTCATTATATTAAAATTTTTAAATAAGGAAGAAAGCAAACTAGTTATTTGCATGTGAGAATTTTAGTTATCGATAAAAGCCAGTTCAGTTTTAAGAACATTTTAAAACGTTCTGCGAAGCGTTTGTGGTTGAATTTTACATTAAATTGAAGCTTATATTACGTATAACAACGTATAAATGTATAATAGTATACCTAACATATATATGTTTGCGAAATTGATTATTTTGTAATTAAAAGTGATATTTTTAGTAGTCTAGGGCCTGTATATGAGTTTATATGCGTTTCATTTAGGACAGGTAATCTCAACTGTTATAGGGTAAAATGACCATGGCGGTCAACATGGCATATGTGCCAAAACCTGAATCCGGGACGAAAGTCCTGAAAATGACGACGCCTTGAAACGGCTTGTCGACATAGCTCTAACTTCCGAAAAGGAAAAGCGATAGCCTTTCTGAAGTGCCTATAGTGTTCAGAAGGGTTGGTTTTAGGGGTGGTCAATGGAAGGAAAAATTTGTCTAAGTATAATATTTTACAAGAAAATGACCATGCACCACCCTATGTAAATTGCTAATTATACATAACTAATATGCCTGGCAGAAATAAATTTTCTTATTTCCTAAAAAAAATTATCATGGGGTGAAACACTATGCTCAATTTAATATAATTATTGTGGATTTCATAAGGATTGTCATTATTTTCATTAAATATAATACATTTCACTTACCCCCCCCCCCCCGCTGAAGAAGATTTCAAAGAAGGTTTCATCAAGTTTTGAAACAGTGCAGTGTATTTTCTCAGTTTATTTTTTGTTTTCATATGTATTTAGATTACAGTATCCAAGAGTACTTCATTGTAGAATAGTCCTAATCGAAAAATTGAAAACATTAGTTGCACTTCAAAGGAGAAAACCTCTCATAACAGTTGTCTTGTCAGAATTCAAAAGTAATTTAAAAATCGCGCGCAAGTTCGTGAAAACTCGTCGTGGGCTACATGATAGGGGTGTGTGAATATTTTCACGAAACGTTTGTTCGCCACCACAGCAACCTAACTAAACACACAATATTTATTGTATTTTTATGATTGATGATAAAAACAATAAATATTTACGTATTTTTATCATCAATCATAAACATTCAATAAATATAGTGTATTTAGTTAGGTTGCTGTGGCCTGTGGTGACGAACAAACGTTTCATGAAAATATTCACCCCCCACTGTCATGTAGCCCACGAGGAATTTTCGCGAACTTGCGCGTGACTTTTAAATTACTTCTTTTGGATTGTTACTGAACAAGTGTTATGAGAGGTTTTCTCCTTTCAAGTGCAACTAATGTTTTCAATTTTTGGATTGGGACTATTCTACAATGAAGTACTCTTAGATACTGAAATCTAAATACATATCAAGATGAAGAAGTGGCATTTATCGGGCAGAGAAACGGCTAGCCATTGCAATGGCGCCATATTTCACGAAATATCGAAGGACACAATATCGAAGATAAGATACACTGCACTGTTTCCAAACTTGATGAAACCTTCTTTGAAATCTTCTTCAGCCATTTATGATTATGTAAAAGTACAACAACTGGATAATATTTGCCAGATTCGGCGATAAAAAGCAAACAAGACGGCAAAATAAAGCTGAAATCGTGTTTTTCGTGGTGAGTGAAATAAAATGTATTACATTTAATGAAAATCCTCATGAAATCCAGAATAATTCTATTAAATTGAGCATAGTTTTTCACCCCATGATAGTTTTTTTAGGAAATAAGAAAATTTATTTTCTGCCAGGCATATTAGTTATTTTGTGCATAATTAGCAATTTACCTGGGGTGGTGCATGGTCATTTTCTTGTAAAATGTTATACTTAGACAAATTTTTCCTTCCAATGACCACCCCTAAAACCAACCCTTCTGAACACTATAAGCACTTCAGAAAGGCTATTGCTTTTCCTTTTTGGAAGTTAGAGATATGTCGAAACTGCCGTTTCAGGGCAGGGTCATTTTCAGGACTTTCGTCCCGGATTCAGGTTTTGGCACATATGCATGTTGACCGCCATGGTCATTTTATCCTAAAACAGTTGAGATTACCTGTCCTAAATGATAGCATACAAATTCATATACAGGTCCTAGACTATAGGGGATTTTTTAATTTTAAAAATACTCTTGTTCTCAAGACTGGAAACTCTTTTTATAAACTTTAATTTAACAAAAATAAACGAAAAGAACAAAAATAAAAGTAATATTTCCCTCATAAAATCTCACGAACAACGTTTTTCGAACGTCCTTAAAACCCGTTGCCCAGCAACCCCTCATTGGGCATAGGTTGCCCAAGTTTACTGTTTCGAAATGTCAACCATAAAATGTCAACTACGAATTAACTACAAAATACAGTTATCTTAACAACATTCCCCCTCCCCGCACTGCGTAGAGTGCGTGTCTAAACTATCTGTTCAACTAACACTGTTCCATCAGTTTTCTTGAAACAGCGGTACTAACTTGTGTATTGGTCGAACTAAGGTTCTGTCTCCACACTGAACTTTTGCCACTCGCGTGTGACCGTCTTTACCAGGATACGTCTCGATGATCCGTCCTAGAGGCCATCGACCTCTTGGTAGGTTGTGATCTAACGCAAGAACAACGTCGCCCGTTTTCAGGTCGTTCACTATTTCCGTCCACTTCGGACGCTTGTTTAATGTGGAAAGGTATTCTTTCAACCATCTCGTCCACACCTGATTGAGTAGTTGTTGCACTCTTCGCCACCGATTCCGTAAGTTAAAATTGGTGTAGTCAACCGATTCGGGAACCACTTCTCCACCCACTTGCCCGTGTAGGAAATGGTTTGGTGTTAACGGTGTAACATCTTTAGGGTCTGTCGTCTGATAGGTTAAGGGACGGGAGTTGACCAGACTTTCGGCAGCAGTAAATGCGGTGATCAATTCTTCGTCTCGAATGTCACTGTTTCCTAGGAC